GTTGTTTCCTGTAAGGGCTAGGCCTTAATTGGTTCTTATCCTGTAAGCTCTTTCCTTTTTTATCTTTGTCTTTTTTATGAAATGGCATAGGGGTCTTCTCATTGTCAACTTCTATTATTGGTAATGTTTCTTCTGTGTTTTTGTTTTCTGCCTGTGGTTCTGCATTAAGATACAGTGCAGCCAGTTCATCACATGGTGTTGATATTGAGTCAGGTGAGAGATCTTTATCTTTACTTAGTGTAGAGTTTCTTTTAAATTATTTTCTTGTAAGCCTACACCATCTGTGATAGATGCATCGTCTTGCAAGTATGGGTTTTCTTTTTTATTAGCAGAACTACCTGCATGGGGTTCTTGTTCTAGCCTAATATTAGCTGATTTTTCTTTGCTGTATGATCCAATTCTTTTTTTAAAGTCTTAATATTGTTGGTGAAGGGCTACAGATTCCTGGAACAGCTGGCATTCCTTTTTAATATGCCCTTTTTTTTTGCAGAAGTTATATACTTTTGCTGCTGCCTTCCATTCTGTTGTGACCTTGTTATTCCAAATATGAGTAAATTTTGGTATTTTGGCTTCTAAAAATGGATCCTCTGTGGTCTCGAAAATTATAACCCACTGATCTGTTAGGTATAGTGTACCTTTAATTAACAGGGGTTTAATCAATGCTATTTTATCTATATTCTCAAAAGCATCTTTAATTAAGTCTGACAGTTCTTTGTTGCCTAGTAAGACATTCCTGATTTTGACTGGCAAGAATGGTTTTCTCATATCCATTAGAACATATTCAAAATATATTCTGTTGAAAATTTTAACACCTTTTGTTATATAGATCTTTAGTTTTTCTTTGTCTGTGAAGATAATTTCTAAATGTGATCATGTTTTTTTAGTAAGATGTTGTTTAGCTGTGATGATGTTATTTTTAGCTATTTTGAATAAAGATAATATAATTTCATTAAAAGAGCATTATAGGCTTTGTATATCAATAATGAGAGCATTTTCATTCTTTGATTTAATTGTGTTTCTAGAAGAAAAGAATGAGTAAGTCGACTGGCCTCTTTTAAGTTTGGGAAAGAAGCTTGACCATTTTTTTGTTAGTGGTTCAGTTATTCTACTGGAGCTAAAAGTTGTATTTCTTTCCAAAGTGGAGTTCTCTTGTTTATTCCTTGGTTCATTTTGAGTTGTTGTTTCCATGTTGTTTTTGTTACTTGTACTAGTCTTAGAGACCTCTTTGTCATGTGTTGTTGTTTGAATATTATTTTTATTACATATACTAGTTTCAAAGACCTCTTCATTACATGTATTGACTTCAATAACCTTTTCGTTATGTGTAGAAGTATTGTTGTTTTGTTCTAACAGTGTTTCTATGTTGTCATTTCTTTCTACTGATAAGATTTTCTCTTTTGTTATGTATGTTCTATTTTCTTTAAGTTCTTCTTTCTGTGTATTTGTTATTTCCTTGAGTTTCTTAGTTTCTTGAGCTACTTGTTCATCCTAGCTAGAGTTGCTTTTGTTGATATGTTCTAGTGAATCTGAGTTATTGCCTTCTACTTGTATAGGCTTCTTATTTTTGATGTTTTTCTTATCTGTATTTGTTGTTGTTTTTCATTTTTTTGTCATAGTGCCAAAGCTTTTTGTATTGTTAAAAGCTTTAAAAGATTTTTTTCTTATAACAAGGGCAAGTGCCCTTGCTTTGAAACCTTTTTTAAGATTGGTTGTCTTGTTGTTGTAGTTTATTTTTCTGTTTAGTTTCACTCTACTTCCAAATGCATGTGGTTTGGAAAGAGTATATGCAGATCGTTTAACCAATTTTCTTTATATGCTAACCCATCTTTCTGTCCATGATGCATTTTACTGAATATAGAAATTTATTAAATGACTTATTATAACTTAGAGAATGTTGATTATCTCAGTCAAAATCTATATATACATATTAATAGTTAAAATTTTCAAATTTTTTAGAATAGTTTACAAATGCACTGTAATGAAATGCCTAAAATATTTTTACTAAGAAATTGATTAATTAACTTAATAACTTTCAAATGTGTGAGCATAAAGATGATTTATTATCATTAAATTGTCTAATTAAATCATTATAAATATCTTTTCTATAAATACTTAACTCTCTAGATGTCTGAAATATTATATTAGAAAATTGATTTATTAACTTAATAACTTTTTTTTTTTTTTTTAACCCTATTGGCATAATCACCTCAGAACACCAAATGGTGATAGTATTTTTAACTTCTGTTCTAGCATCTTGATATCGAGGGCCTTCTATATTTGTAAGGTTACTCTTTATTTTTAGGTTTCTGAACTGTGCATTTTCTTGATTGTTCAATTATCATTCCGATCATCCAGAACATTCATATATGTCTTTGCAACTAGAATTTTACTGGTAGTATCCTAATTCAGGGATTCCTCATTTGTTTTTAATTCCTAATTCTTGATATTGCATTACAAGACTGTGGCTAAGCTTCAATCATGATCCTAGCATAGCTTTTTGTCTTACTGTTAGACTCGAACCGGTAACCTTGCAATTGGGAACCTGGGAGCGCAACCACAATGCTATCAACCCATAGGTCTAACTTAATAACTTTTAAATAATATATGAGCATAAAGATGATTTATTATTATTAAATTGTCTAATTAAAATCATTAATATAAATACATTACCTCCAAATACT